ATATGTTGTCCTTTGCTATTATTCGAATCGGAAATGGAATTATTTTTAATTCTTTCATACACCCTCGATTTTCATATTTTCCTGCACGAAATCACGACAGTGAACGAAATTTATATCTTGCGTAGATATTTGTCGCAAGCGGACTGTAGACGTTTATTCAAAGCTTAAGTAAAAGAATTGCTCACGGAGCAATTAATGTCATTTATGATTCAAACTTTATTCCCCAACTAAGGAATCAAATTAAATTTTTCCCATCTCGGGGAATATTTACGAATATTTACACTGTACTGTGTTTTTCGTACAGATTAATTAACTCGAGTCGAGTCGAGAGAGAATCGAAGACGCGAGACAATCGCTATCGAAGAAAAGGAACGAAGATCATGCGCTCCTGATATACATCGAATGCACACGAACGTGCTGGTTTTTCCGTGCGGTGTACGTACATATATGCACACGCCTTTTATGCATATGGGCGACTGGTCCGTAGACGCGCACGCGTACTACGAGTTTACATACTACACACGTGTTACTATAGATGTTACTACGGCGAGTACTCTGTAATCTGACACAGAGTACGGAGATTGAACCCGACTGAGCGGGACTCGTTGAACCGGAAGTAATCCCACGGGAAAGCAAGATAAAAAAAGAGAGAAAAAAAAAAGGAGGGAAAAATTGCTCGATTACTTTGCAACGAACGGTCGTGTAACCTCACAATCACAACGCTCGATGAATGCGTTCGCGGTTTCCATCTCCGCGAATCTTTCACCCCCGTTTCGTAGCAAACCGCGTTCGTTTGGACATCGATACATTTTCTCGAACATCATCCGAAAGTGAATCCACGTGGAACTTTTTTCAAGTAAACATTAGTAGATTAGTAGACGTAACAAACGTGATTCGATCGTAATTCTTTTGCGATGAAACTAAATTTTTGGGGAACGTGTATAATTCGTAGAATGAAGAATGAAAGAGAGGCGAATAATTTTACGATGTGAAACTATATTCGATAAAAATGATAAATTTTTACGCAACTGATTAACATGATAAAATATCCAAAGCAAAACCCTGTAATTTTTGGGTAAAATGAATTTTCATTAAATTCAAATCGCTTCGATCGTATCTGTAAGAATATAACATTTGCCTCCGAACAAAAATTATTAGTACCCGTTTCAACTCTTAATCGAAATTACCGATCTCTTGGGAACCAAAGAAGAAGAAAGAGAAAATTCTTAATTGAATTGAATTTTATTCTATAAAATACATATTATATATTATTATATATATAAAATACAGAACACAAAATTAAAAGTCAGATACCCAAATTTTAGTTTCTTCTATCTTTTCTTTCTTCCTGTCTGCCGCCCGTTTACATTTGTGCTTTCCGAGTTACTCAACCATAACTCCACCAAACTTCCCCCGTTTGGGGAAAAAAAAGAAAAAGAAAAGGAAAGACGGAGTAAAAGTCGCTGAATTACACGCGATACGCATCGCGTTATCGCGCTCGCGACAAGTGTGTCCGGTAATCTGTAAGCTTGCGGATTGAACACAATCGAGCTTGTCCACTGACCTGGAAGTAATCCCCGCTAAAGAAGATAAAAAACGTTGCTTCGCTGCTGGTCGTAGTGGTGAATACTCGTAACCCCTACGTACGATCGACGTACACTCGAGAGACCTTATGGGTTATTTCAGATGGACGTACCATGAGGGTATTGTCCGATTCAAGATTCGTCGAGTGCCGATCGAGCACTCGAGCGGAGCTTTATTGGAAGCTCCTGTTCTATCAACCAGAGCAGACTTTCCTGATTTTTTTTTCTTTTCAAACGCACGAGCGGCGAATCACCGTACGAATTGCGTACGAGTTTCGCAAGCGGAAGACTGGAAGAAGTATATAGCAATCGTTTCGCTTTTAGACATTGCGAAAGCACGCGACGCGCAATTTATGGTACACCTTATAAGTTCACGGCAAGGAGAGACGGAGGTAAAAAGAGCCTTTGAGCGAAGCTAGTTGGTCGTTAACGAGAATTTTTCAACGAGAAACTCGAGAAAAATATTCCGTTTCGAGAGCCGGCGAGACGCTTTTCGCTTTTTAACGTTGAAATGAAATATTATCGCGAGGGTACCTCTTCATTTCTGTGGATACTCGGCTCAGTAACGTGTAAAGCTCTGTGTGTGTACAAATATATTATATTATATACTATTGACGATTCTCGAGAGCGTCTACGAATAAATATCCGATTGGGTTCTAATCCCAAGGTGAAAGAAAATTTGGTGCAGAGAGAGAGAGAGAGAGAGAGAGAGAGAGAGAGATTGACCTTGGAACACGTGAGAAGTCTTTCAAATTATCGGTGTGAAAGTAGGCCAAACGTTAAACGTTCATCCGTGCATGCCTGTACGCAAAGAAATAGAGCAAATATCGCGCTGCTGTAATCAATTAACGATCCCTGCGAATCGATACTACGTACGTGTATCCCTTCGACGAGTCGTTTCTAACTCATTAAACGAAGTTTATCTCGAGATCTCGCGTAATTTTTCTCGTCTGGATTTACGCTCGCGTTCCACCGTTGAAATTATATTCTCTCCGTCATAGAGAGCAAAACCTCGATGAGGACGACGAGAGAGAAAGAGAGACGGAGACGGAGAAAGGGCGAAAGAAGAAAAAAAAGAGAAACGTCGGGGGAAAGGAAACGTCTCTAATCCTTTCCACCGTTTAATCCTTCTCCTACCGAACGGTAGGAGAGAGAAAGGAAAGAAATAAAAAAAAGAAGAGAGAGCAGAAAAGACCATTGTTCGTGGAGAAAAAACACGGATGAATTTCGAAAAGCGCGGCTCGTCCGAGTACGCGGGTGCGTTTCCACCCCACGGGAAACTCTCTCTCTCTCTCTCTCTCTCTCAGAGTCCGTGCATGGGGAAACGATAATCCAGATAAGCTGCTAAACGCTAGCAATTTGAGCGGCGGGATCTCCAGAAACAATATTCCGTACTTGAAACCGACTAATGCCGAGGTAACGGACTCGCCGGTTCCTTGTATACCGGGTGTCCTCACCGCATCCTGCCTTCCTCCATTTCCTCCGTCATTCGCTCACGTTGAAGACTCGAGTTGAAGCACGACGATTCACCGTATCCTGATTGCGTTTCCACAACGACCACGACGATTACCAATATCGTTTCGCACGCGTGAATCATAGTACTCGATCGCGAAATCCTGCACGCGTTCAATTACCCGCGGAAGTTGACAATCTCGGGAATACGAGAGAAAAAAAAAAAAAAAGAAAGATAACGATGATATTTAATTCGCGCTTAAATGAAGCGGCGAGGGAAGAGATAAAGGGATAAAAACACACGAGATGCGACGGAGAAAGAAGGAGAAAATGGACGAGGGAGCAACAAAGACCGGAATAAAATAAGGAAGGGGAAAACAGAAACAGCGGGGGGAAGGGGGAGTTTGGGAGAATCGGGGGAGATGAATACGAGAACAGACAGGGAGAGAGAGGGAGAGAGAGAGAGAGAGAGAGAGAGAGAGGATAGGAAGAGTCGGTGATGCGGAGTGAAAGTCCTCAAGTAAAAACCAGGCCAGGGCTTCGTATCTCGACGCGAACACACCAGGGCCATTATGCAATTACGGGCGACGCATTTGCTGCCGTCTTTCCACCGCTGCTGCTGCTGCTACTACCTCCGTGGTACTCGCCCGTGCCACGTCCTCGTTTCCCTTAGCAATTTACCTTCTAAATCGCTCAAAGTTTTGAAATTACCATAACCGCGCCCGGGCGTCCGATACGCGGACGTTATTCCCGACAATTAACGACAGCGCGGCGTTTTAATCGACTGGCCGCCATATTGCGATCCGATGGCCGAGTCTCTCGATCCTTCGAGGCGTAATTTCGCGGGAGAAAACGCGAATCAACTCGAAACGTTGAAACGTTTCGTTTTTTTCTTTTTCTCTTTTTTAAAGATCTCGGACATCGTGCAACCGTGTCACGATTCGCGATAGAATATCGTGCCGCATGAGCACGTGTTCACGTTCCAGTTGCACGTTCGGTAACTCTTGTCGGGAGAATGGCGAAATGTTAAACGAATATCGAAGTAACTGGAATTTTCACTCCTTGTGTGTTTCTGATCGCGTCGTTCCCATTCCTTGCTGTTCAAGGAACTTGCATACAGTTGTGTATGTACGACCATTATGTAAAACATTTTTCGAAATTTCGTTAACGTCATAGACGAGATTCGACTGTTGTGATTACACTGATCGAAGGTTTGAAACAAAAGTATCTACGTAATGAAATTGCAAAGTATTTAATACAAGTGTTTCATCGATCATTCACTGCATCTTTGAGCATTAATGCTCAGTGGGGCCATATTTAATTTTATTATACGTTTAAAATGGTTATTGATGCTTTCGGATTTCTCTCAAAGCAATCAACATGTTACCAATATATAATCGTATCAATGAATATTTCTAAATATCTCGTATAATCTACATACACATATACATAAGCGTCGATAAAATGAGCGACTGTTCGATAAATATTTTTTGCAACTCATCCGACATAAATATATATAATAAAATTCCATGAAACTAATAGTTGCAAATAAACACAGGATCCCAAGTATCACATACTTGATCACATTTTATTGACAAAACTTTAAAGTTACTTCAGGACATAAAGAATCAAGCTGTCTTTACTGTCGAAATTTCCTCGTGACGATAATAAAATCAAACAAAGTTACACGAACCAGAGGATGGTCAATTTCCGTTAAATCCCCCTCTTACTTGCAAATCTTTCAAATGATTTCAGATATCTTTCGACATTCGTCGATCCATAGACGCGAAATGATATCGAATCGGCGAACATAGTGATCGCGAAAGACGAACGTCTGTTCGGAACATTGATGTAACTTGGCAAAGGGTTAATTACGCGGACAGACACAAACACAGAGACACAGTACACGCATGCGTAGAGAAAAAGGAGGAAAAGTAGCAGTTTCATTAAGAAAAAATGACTTACTAAAGTGTGACGCGGTGTAGGCGAACAAAAGCAGTCCGGAAATGAGTCGCAGTGACGTCGCATCCATTTTTCGGTTCCGGCTTCTGTTGGCCCGAGTCCTCTTCTCTCCCGCTTATCGCTCACGCGGATGATGGCACATGTATACACACACGAACCGCACGCGCGCACTTACTTTTGATCTGGAAATTCGAAAGGAACACTGTGAAGCCACAACGACGATCCTCGCGAGAGTTTCCTCGCACGCGATGAAAAAGGGGGAAAGGGGTTTTCGCTTGCTCTTTTCTTTTCTTACTCTCTCACACACACACACTCTCTCTCTCTCTCTCTCTCTCTCACTCTCAATCTCTCTTTTTCCTTTTTTCACTGTGTGTGTTTCGAGCTGTCGCGGTCAGAAAATCTTCGTTTTCTAGAACGGACGATGAGCACGCCGCTCGAGGATCCTTGAGAACCTTTCGCCGCGGGAACCGTGAAACGACAGACAACCGTGATTTCAGACAAAAGTTCTTGAAGCGCCTTACGATCGCGTTATTCCTGTACCTCGACACGTAATCGGACAAACAGGATGTTTGTCGAGAGTGGAAATCTAAATTGTTCGAGAGACTGATTCCTAGAAGTTTCTTGACGATGCCGAGGAAAGATTCTGAAGCGATTTCGACGGTTTTATGACTGAGCGCGTCGAGAACAAACGATGGAGCGACGAAAGTGCTATCGAAACACGCGAGGAGAAACGAGCGAAAACGAATTGTACCAACACTCGGATCGATCGGTCGAGAAAGGAACTCGGTGAAAAAGTGAAACGAGAGGCGAGACCGACTTCTGTTGAGCGTGTTGACTATTGACCGAGACAACGTCGACTGAGCAGAAATTTGCCATCGGCCTGCCGGCATACCTTTCCCGTGCCGGCTGGCGGCTTCGAAGGAGAGAAGAAAAAAAAAAAAAAAAGGAAGAATTGCCGCGCAGTCTACATGACCTCGGGAGAGCCCATGAAACGCGCCTGTACTTTCTATCAACGCGCAACGAATATTTTCCCCTCGAACGAGTTTACCGAGCCTCACCGTTCGTTCCCTTTCCCGCTGTCTTTTTTCATTAGGGGAATAATTCGACACAACAGCAAGAAACCGCGGATTTCACGTGGAATTTCGCGTTGTCATGACGTTCTTCCTCGAGTCGGAAAATTGCGCTGTACGCGCGTTAAACATGATTGCCAGACAATTGAGAGAGAATGTTTTAATCCTTACTTCGATTCGTATTAGTCATATCAATGTGTAAAAAGATTCGTTCAATCGTCAAAGTACAAAGTAAAAAGCCAACAACCATGCCGTGTAAAGGTTCAATAAAAGTTTCGTCGGATTTTCGAGAATTGCAAGAGTCAGATCTCTCGGTTTTAAAATTTCCAAATTGAATTCTGTTCACCGATCTTCATCGATGCAAAATAGAAACTCTCTTAGCAATCTAAAAGAAGAAAGTAGATTTACTTAGATTACTAAAGGAATATTCTTTTATCCAATGATATCACTTGAGAGTTGAGAAATCGTGCGAACGAATAATATTCGTGCATAATGTCGACGGCTAAGAAAAGATCGTAATGCGACACAAACTCTTATTATTCCTATCGTTCAAACTTCGGAAAAATTGACAAAAAAAGATGCAAATTCTTGTGAAATTTTGAAAACCGTTGAATTGAACAGGAAAGGTTTCGCTACACGGATGTAATAAACATAGCTCGATAAACGAAACGCAAGGGAGGGAGGGGGAGATAGTGAAACGCGCGACGCAATCGTCGAGCAATTAAAATGCCATCGGTGCGATCGTGTCAGAGTTCGTTCACACGCTGCATCTTTAATTGCTTCCAGCTCGATCGTTCAGCGAACGGCGAAGGTGAGATGGACAGGAAGAAAGCTGCACGAAGCGTGCTGGAACGCGTATCGTCGCTGTTGCTCGAACGTGTGCGCAACGTCCGATTGCAACATTTGCCAAGCAATACATATTTTCGATAATTGCGCCCGTTTGCGCAATGCCACTCGATGGAAAGTAGAAATGGATCGTGCTGGGCCAGACCGAACGCGCCATCTTCTGCGAAGATTCCACGTTCAAACGCGGCCACGAGTGTGTGTCGTGTCGAGATTCCCTTCGTCGTCGAGTTTGTCACCTAAATCGCCGTTTAAACAAACGTTTGAAAATTATTTAAAGGGCGCTCGTCACTTTGGTAATAAAAGTGAAATCGCCCGACCAGGAGCTTCGACGTGAAGTATTCAAGAAATAATGAAATCTTCGAGATACGAGATGCTCTAACTAAAGTTAACGATCTGAATTCAATTGGCGAGTGCGAAAGATCGCAATATTTGTCTGGACACTTTCGAATGCCCGCGTTCGATCGGGAACTTCTTGCCCAAGGCGGCGCGTTTTTCCACGCTTTCACCGCCGTTATTTTCCACCTGATGTCTGATTATTATTAATGCATCTATTGTGCAATGCATGCGGGTTTGTTGCTGTATACCATCGTGGTGGTAATCTCTTTATACCGGGCGAGAGCACACGAAAATCGACCGGCGTTTTCACCAATCGCATGAAGAAACAATTTCATTCCGGCGCGTGCAATTCGCGGTCGAGTTGCTCGAAATATAGTATCACGATACTCGGCTGTTTCTCCGACGGGATGTTTTTTTTTTCTCCTCCCATCTGTCTATCGATTCGTAAAGATGCTTCGATTCGAAAGCAATACTTCCCGCACTGACTCAGGTACAACGATTATATTAAAATACGTCGTTTGACTTCCTCGCTCTCTGTCCTTCAGCTTGTTTCTAAAATGCAAAATCACTGGAGATATCACTCTTCGGCTTTCTCTTCGGCGTTAATAACCTCGCACCTTCTCGCGATTGTCACTGATACCGTCAGGAGGACTTTCAAGTCCTTTCAATCTCGTGGCAATCGTGAACTACTCCAGCTTACCAAGCACCCGCGTACTCATCGTTCCAAGGAACGTGCAACATCTTTCCAAAGAAACAGCACGGTAAGTACGAAACAACCGAGGCTGGCGCAGCACTGGTGGCGCCTTGCGGTAGAAAATCCACGGGCAGAACCCCGCCAGAATGGCAACAACCAACGAAACTAAACCCAAAGCTTTCGTCACGAGAATCCGCGACGAGCAGCTCGGCGAATTGTCAGTCTCACGGTCAGTCTCAAAAACAACAGTTCGTCAACGTGTCTCCCCTCGACAAAATGAAAAAATTCGTTTGGGGACGAAGGCGCAGGATGTTACCGAGGAACGAACGATCAAATGGCCATCGATTTATCGAATGTCCGGAGACGGCGATCGGGCACGACATGTCGTTGTTCGAGTGGAATCGCGGTGAAAAGGCACCTGACCTGTTCAGCTACGCTGGGCGCAGCGCAGCGCGGCAGAGAGAGCAGGGAGAGCCCGCGCTAAGCTCGCTCGCACCGGGTGCGTAGAGCGCGCGTTTTCGGACGTGGAAGGACTGACTGGGGTTACGCACGTAGCGTACACGGGACCAGGACATGTATTGGCGGCCAGGCAAGCTCCACCTATCGCGTGCCAGAGTGGGAGGGTACAGGGACGACCTCGAGCTTGCGCCCTCGGACGGACCTCCGTTCCAAGCACAACCCCTTCCTTGGCTTTTTCCCAACTTTCGAGCTTGCGGTGCACCCCCGCGCCGAGTCCACCCCGTCTCGCTCACCCCCTCCCCCCCCCCCTCTGCTAACCCCGCGCTGAACCCACCAGCCAACGTAGTCACCATTACCGACGCCGCTGGTTCTGCGCCCAATCTCACCCCACCATCCTCCAAGATGCCTAAAGAGCCTACAGCCTAACGCGGCTACGACCGCCGCTAGTGATGGGACCAATACCCTCGCGTCGACTTGTCGATACACTCGGAATGCTGTCGCGATTGTTATCGCGACTCGGTTCTCTCGTCCATCCGCAAGCATCCAAGACACGAGGGAACAACGTAGTAAAAGGCTGTGGGTTAAGGCGACCGAGTTAAAAGGAGTTAAAGAGAGAGCCGCGCTGGAAAATACGAGTGGAGTAAAGAGAACGGAGCCGAGAGAAGAAGGTTGTTTTAGGAATGTAAGGACGAAAGTGGAATGTCTGATGGGACGGGGGGGAGGGGGGTTGGCGCGGGGGTAGGAAGTTAAGAATGGAATTTCCTGTAAGAGTGGAACGCACGCGTCTCGACGTACGCGGCCAGAGATTTGTTTATTCGAGCTTTTCTCTGTTTTTCCGCACGCTACGAATTCTTTCAACTGTTGCTCGGCCGCGTGTCTCGAAAATAATCGCAACACGATTTTTAGTTTGGTAAAAGGGTATAGTACGATATACTTACTCCGTGTTGTCTAACCTTTTTATAATAGTTTTGAAAGATCAAAAAGAACTTGTCCCAGAACAAGTTTTGAACGAGAATGTACAATCTTCTGGTAGAAGATTTTTCATACGACAAAGATTTGTCGACTGTCTAAGAAATAAAGAATTCACACTTATTTTCGCCCCGTCTTACCTCGATCTTCGCTACACGTATGTATGTACGTTCGATGCTTACAAGAAACCTTCAGATCCTCTCGATCGCAGACCGATCTCATTTACCGCCGAATCGCAACTGAACTCGTCGGCGTAACGTCAGTTCCATATACGTCGAAAGGTACCAAATATTCGACACCTACGTTCCTAGTCGCAGTAGGTTAAAGTTCGTTCAACGGGTTCAAAGATACTCCTACGCGAAGCCTACGCGCGACGTACGCCTCCGTGAAGGTAAAGACATGACGAGTCAGCGATATCATCTTCCTCGTGTGACAAAAATAAAACGTGATTTTGAAAGCTCGACTTTTCGAAACGTCCAGCCGAATAAAAAACGGACACAATTAATCGACGCTGTCGCTGGCTGAAGCAAAGCAGAACGAAATTTAGACCAGGAGGAACGAACCGCAGCCACGTTGAGGATTTCGCCGCGGTATCGTCGGGAGGAAAGTTGAACGAAAGGGGATGGCAACGTTCGCAACTACAGTTGCGGATCGTGTCTTCTTGTAACAAACCGCGGTTAGAAGGTTCGTTGTGTTACTGGCCCATTAGAGTTGACTTCCAAGCGTCACCGTCATCACGTTTCTCGATACCTATCGCACTTGCACCTGTGTGTCAGAGATGGGATCGAGTGTCTCGCAAACAGTTACGAAAATTTGGAATCCGTGTGTCTGACGATGTTCTTTTCAATTTTCTTAGATACAGGTAGGCACTATAGTCGTTGTAATTGTAACATCGTATCAAATGTGAAAATATTGAGACGTTTAATAACGTTTAGTAATTTGTTTAGTATGTTATTCATCCTTTTACCCCCTCAGGAAAAGGCTATTTACGAAGCACTACGTGTCCGAGGAAAAATAATTTCCTCCGCTATTTTGTAATTTTCGTAAAATGCAGCAAGTTTCCACTTGTTTACGTGAATTATTCACAATTATGCGAATTATTTCGATGAATGTTAACTGACTCACGACTGTCTCTCTCATTACTGCTTTCACTCTAAGCATTTGTTTGGGTATTCACTATAATTATCAGCAATTATTTAATTCAAAAAGAAAGTCCGAGTTAGTTAGATTCAAGTACGATGATTCCCTTGGAAATAACAAGAATCGAGCGCAAAGGGTTAATCTTCAATTTAAAGAATATATAATTTGGAGATTCGAATTTAACTTCCACGAAACTGCCTACAACTAGCTCTTTTGTTTCAAATTGCTTTCATTTTTCAAATTCAATTTTCTCAAATTTTACAGAATTCGTACCGCGACAGCGTGACCCGACAACATTACAAGACAAAGGGTTAAAGCGTTTCAACTACGCGTGCGTCGAAAATTTTTAATTTCACGAAGCCCGTTCCTGTTTCCTTTTTTTTTTTTTTCTTTTTTACGCGCGGTTTTCAAACGTCAGGCGAACCACCACAGGCCTCGCGTACTTAGTGTTTTGTGTTCTTAGTCGGCTCGAGGCTTTTAACGAATGTAATACGATTTCGTCGTTGCGGCAAAGAATTCGAAATCAGCTCAACAACTTTATCTGTTCCCCTGGCCGTGGTCGGTCTGTTCCTGGGATGAAAATAAAAGGAGTGTGGGAGAAATGGAAAACGAGGAGCGAGGAACGCGCAAGTGGACGAAAGGCAGTGGAACAAAATTGAGAAAATGAAAGAATTATCGTTGCAATTAGTCTACACGGAGTAAAACGCCTCAACAGTGATTAGCCTGCAACCAGACAAGTACACAAATTGAAATCCAGCTGAAGATTCGTTTCTTTCGAGTGGAATCCTCGAATATTTTCAGAATCGCGGTCCTTTGTCAAGAACAAGGACTAACTCAATCAAGCCAAAGTGACAGTGAAGGGATATTCGATCGTCAGACTAGACTCGTTAGTTTGAATCGAGTAATTTCGATCTTTCTTCATGCTCAGATAACTCCGTGCAACGTCGTGTTCATCAGCTGGGAAATTACGAGTCGATCAACCGTCACGATCCAGAAGAGTAGTTAATTAAAAATATTCCCGAGATATAACAGGTGGATGATCGTCTCGTCATTTCGTTGTTGCAATTCTGGCGTTCATCGACGATATGTTTTACACGACACACACACACACACACACACACACACACACACAGCGACTACACGGGGCACGTTGCAGCCGACTTTCCCCTGGTCGTTCACGCGAGCTTCAAGTGTGTCCGGGACGCGTGGCTTTCGCGGTCGATGAAATCGTTGCTTTTAAAGCGACTCCACGATCGTTCCCGCGCAACCATTTTCTTTTTTTTTTCTCTCCTGTTTTCCCTCCTCGTCGCTCCTCGCGGGGATCCTACGATCCCCGTCCACAGAGGGAGATTTAATTAACGGTAATTTATGCGACAAATGCGAACGCGGCACTTACGTAAAACTAATCGATTTTGTCAGCAATCGGCAGCGATGATTCGCCGAGTGAATTAAATTATTCACTCGCATCACTGGCTACTCTGGGAATCACAACAATTTCTGTCGCGAGCAACATAAAAATACGACAAACAAAATTAAAACACACGAAACTCTAATGATTCGACACAAATTATTGCAGACCGTATATGCAGGGTGTTTCGTAATTTGTGGAACCCATTTTCGGGAGCTGATTGTACGCTTAAAAATAATGAAGAAAAAGTCATATAAATATATGTCCTATCTGTCTTTGTTTATGAGATATAATAAATTTTCTGTTTTAATTACTTTTACACAATATGCTCGAAATGACCACCTTGCATTTGAAGATAAGCCTGCACGCGTCTTGTCATTCATCTGGTTACTCTCTCTATCATTCCTGGTGTTTCTCGAATTTGTCGGAAGCCTTGCTCTATTTTGTTTCGTAGTATTTCAGCATTTTCAATCGATGTTGCGTATACAATAGATTTTAAATGTCCCCACAAATGAAAATCTAATGAATTCAAATCCGGAGAACGAGCAGGCCATGCAATAGGACCTCCACGACCAGTCCATTTATTTGCAAAGTGTTGATTTAAAAATTGCCTAGCCACTCGGCTAAAATGCGGCGGAACTCTATCATGCATAAACCGCATACGAATAATCTAATATCGACTGGAACTTCCTCTAATATTTCGTGTAAACGCGTGCTCAAAAGATCAACGTACTTTGTGCCTGTTAGTTTCCCATCAAGAAAAAAAGGTCCGATTAAAAATTTATCAATTATCCCTGCCCATATGTTTAAACTAAACTGGTGTTGATGTCTTGAATACACAATAACATGTGGGTTTTCTTCATCCCAATTGATGACTATTATGAAAATTGAATATACCATCCCTGGTAAAACTAGCTTACTAGAGTTTGCTCTGTTCATAAAATTCATTATATCTCATAAACGAAGACAGATAGGACATACATTTATATGATTTTTCTTCATTATTTTTAGGCGTACAATCAGCTCCCGAAGTGAGTCCCATAAGTTACGAAAACACCCTGTATAATTTACGATTGACGATTGTTTGTGACATTATTTTTCTACCTGTGTTGTCTCGATTTTCTCGTTGCATAAAGTTTTAGCAAATTTCGTTCATCGGATCGTGTATACAGATCGTGTGTTGTTCATTTCCCTTGTCAATTGGATAAAAATCGACGATTATGTTAACGGTGAGAACGAGCGCGTTTCGCGGGAGGAGAGCGAAAAAAAAGGAAACACGGCGAGACAATAACTTCGATCGAGCATTCCGTCGGATAGAAACGAATATCGAGTGGCCGCATCAGGCGAACGATGACGTTGACAGGTTCGTTAAAATCGAGCACGTCCCGTCTGCTTTCAATCAGACAGGCCCGATTTAATTAAATATATATATATGTGTGTGTGGGTGTGTGTGTGTGTGTGTATGTATGTGTGTGTGCGCGCACGTGTACAACATGTTATCGAGCATTGACAGGTAATAAGCCCGTAACATAATTTCTAGAAGGACTCGTCGATGCGTATTTTCACGGCGGGCGTCAAATATCCTCCGCGGATCCGCTTTGATTGACACCGTACGGTTTAATTTCATTTCGGGAATATACACGCGGAAAAGGAGATCGGGAGAGCTGGCCGCCGAATTTCGGAATCCAATCGCCGAAGTTAATCCGCTTTCGGATCGTTCCGATTAAACGATACCTTGGCGCGAGTCGAAGGAATTCGAGATAAAATCGAAACAGTGTAAACGGAGTAAAATGCGAGAGAGAAATGTGTACGATCGTGTGTGGAATCGTGGAAGGGACTCGAAGCGGAGAATCGAAAAGGAAATGCACGGAACTATACTTTTGTGGTTCGCGCGATAGTGTTCGTACGCTCGTCGACGAAGCTTTTCACGAACACGTTGCCATGCGTTGCAATTTTCACGTTTGCGAAATTTTCTCAACGCTGCTCTCGATACTTAGGTATCATGGTTATGCTAGCGATTCTACAGGATGGGCCAAAAATCACTTCCTACTAAACCTTCCGTAATGTTTTTGTATTATTTGTCAATTTGCGAGCGCTCTGACGGTCAATATTCGAAAGAAATAATTTTTAAAACACGATAAAAAGATCATGCTTTTTTAATGAATTCAATTTAAAATTAATAAAATTAGATTTTTCTTATGTTTTGATGTTTTATTGAAAAAAAAAGAAAATAGATGGGACAAGTTTCAACCCTATACTAGATTATATATCAGATCGTAGTAATTTTATTTATTTATTACTCATTAATCGAAGACTGTAGTAATTTTAAACGAGAATGTATATTGGAAGGGAGAATGTATTCTGCATACATTCTGAGAATATATATATATACAACAAAAGTCATAAAATATTTTAGTGCAAATATATATTTCACCGAAATCATAAAAGTTTAAAATTTAAACAGTCAATTATTCATTATTACTATTATTACATTACCAGAGCTCAATATTCACTAATTTTCTTAACACTGTCACTTGTACGTACATTTGCAATAAATATTTTGTAGCTTCTGCACACATTTATCTTCAAGTTTGAATCAAGTCAAAAATTTCAAAATTGCTAACTTCAAACATGCCTGTCTAGTGACGAAATGTTAGAACGATTAAAATACAGTGTCGTAAAAAAAATATTCGAACTCGTATAGGAATTTCATTAACACTGTAAAATTCGTAATTAATTCGAAAATGTATGTAGAGGTTACAAGACATTTATTACAAACATGCGCGAGAGTCTCCCATGGTAAAAGTACGAATACTTTTACGAGATAGTGTGTGTAGAGATGGTCTCGTATCGAGAAACGAGGAAATATAAGAAATTTGTCAGCAACGAGAATATTAAGATTGGCCGATAAAACTCAGACCGAGACAGAGAGAAAGAGACAGAGAAAGAGAGAATAACGATGGGGTTCCATTTCTCGCATTATTTCCAATTCGACTCACAGAAAGCGCGGCGCCCGATTTGCTTCTTCGAGGGACCGAGCGCGGTTCGCTTGTAGATCTTAGTCAGCTGTGTGCGCGAAACGTATTGGCAAATGTGGAAATATGATGGTATTTCAATGAGAAATGAACTTCCTCTTCGCCATCTTATACAAACCCCTTTGAAATGGATCATAAACTTCGAGAGTTCACCGTGGAAAAGGGATGAGAATGGACCGACAGATTTCTGTTTCGAGATATGTAACTTACGAGTAACAATTACAGGTATATTGCAAGTGTTTATGCATTATTATGCATATTTAATATATCATAATATATTATAATAAATAATAATTTTATCATAATATGTATAATATGTATAATATGTGTCTCTAGTTTTACAGTTTTTATTATAATAAAATTATTATAATAACTTTACTATAATACATCATAATAAGAAAAGACAGACTATACTAAATACATATAATTATAACAAATACTACACGATGATTACCAGAACTTGTACACAAGCAAATTCACCTAACTAATTCTTGAACTTCTCAAGAACGTATATTTGAGCTACCAAACAAAGTTCAATTTAATTGTTTGTATCTAAGTGAACTAATTTACTATCAGTATCTTATTCTCTGTTAACCAGATCACAGATCTGTAATTTTTTCTCGATGCATTGCAGTCTTTGCATCTTTCGCAAAAATAAATAAAATTAAAATTATGGAATAATTATTTGCCGATTTTTACACATAACGCTACGCGAACAAGTATCTAATTCCACTATCACGAGCAACTTCCCCCCGTAAGTCGACCTGGAAAGTCGATCTTCTCGATCTTCTCGAAAACGGCGGCTCACGCGTAAAACTTTTTATCCAACGCTGGAGGTTTATTTTTTCACGGAGAATCGTCTGGTTGTACAATCTATTACCATTCGCGTTTCAGCAGCTCGCCCATCCGATTCGTTTCTGCGACAGCTTTCAAAGCTCTTCCCTCCCCCACCTAACCCTTTGCTTCTCTTCTCGAGGACCTACCTACCTATCTACGTGAATTCATACTTTCAAAACGAAAGAGAGAGAGAGAGAGAGAGAGAGAGAGAGAGACATCAGAGTCCAAATTTTCGCCAACGAGTCGTCCTTTTTGAGCTTTTGCACTTTGACTACTTGAATTCATGCGCACGGCAAAAGGATATGCAACCACTAGCTGCACCCAGCATCCAGGATGCTACCAAGTATCAGGGATTTCGAGGCAGCGAGTCGAAATTGCGAGTGCTTTTTGTTTCGTGTGTGTTCAACGGTTACCGCCGTACTAATGAAACTCTGAACTCGGCTCGCGAACGGCGCTGCCTCAGAGAAAAGATGCTTAGGATCGTTAACGAAACGGTTGCCTAATTTCCTGTATACACTGTGTTATCTATAAATATTTAGTTGTCACGTCACAGCCTAGCAAAGCTTGCAGGTCGTTGTAAATATTGATCGAAGCTCAGAGTTTAGAGCGATTGAAAATCGCTCGACACGTGCGTGCGTTACATAAAAATTGGAAATTTTATTAACATTGTGACGAGAAATGACTATTATTGATTCATCAAGCTTATAATACCAATAGATGTTAGTATACAGTATTTTAAGTAAATAACAAGTGTTACATAAAAATATTAACAAATATATTGATTATCTTGCAACTTTTATACACACTTCTCCCAAACTTGACCGACATAATTAGTCTCGTCACAATATCAATAAAGTATCAAAATGTTTTGCATAACGCACATAATATATTCATAATAAATAAACAACTGTACGTGTTTCTAGTCACAAAGTTTCTCAAAGTTCATGTGACTTTCAATAAAGTTGTAGCAACAAATAAAGAATTAACCTCCTAAATGACAACCAAAGGTATCCTTTAGGTGCTTAATTTTATTGCAATACGAACAGAATACCGAGAAGTTCACTTGTTACGAAGTTCCTTCGCAAAGGATCGGACGAATCATTCGCTCTCTTCTCCATTCGATTCTCAAACGTTTCGCTATGCTTTGCATAATTTCGCCGTAATCGAATCGCCCGGCAATTTTTACGCAGCGAATTCCCGCACGACTGATCTCGCGCATCGATAAATAGACAATACCCTGACTCGATTCTCGCAGCCGGTTGTTCAAAAAGTTTCGTAAATTCGTTTCCGTGAAGGGGAAATCGCATCATCGTCTCGTTGCCCGTATCGATTCCACGCCGAGAAGAAAAGTAATAACGCATCTGTTCCCTATTTTTCCTCCTTTCTTCTCGTTCTAAACGCGCGTTCCCGCATCTCGCTCCGTACCGACAGCCAGCCAAGCTCGTTCGTGCGACGTAAGAAAGAACGAGACTGAATTTCAAATTACTCGCGCGATCCCTTTCAAGGATACGCGTGTACACTATGCGCGAGGACTCCGGGCGAGGCTTGCACCGTTGTTCGCCTGGCGACTTTCAACAGTTCTTACGAAGGAAAAGTCATAATGATGCGAACCTGTCTATCGCTAGTTTGCATAAAGCAGCAGTAAGAATTTAAATCGTTCAATAATTATTCTTGCAAGATTAAGAATTTATTGTATTGCAATATAAAATTATAAAATTATAAAATTGTAGAATTATAAAATTATAAAATTATAAAATTATAAAATTATAAAATTGTAGAATTATAAAATTATAAAATTATAAAATTATAAAATT